AGAACCTACTACAGTAACAACTGAAGAACCTACTACAGTAACAACTGAAAGACCTACTACAGTAACAACTGTAGAACCTACTACAGTAACAACTGAAGAACCTACTACAGTAACAACTGTAGAACCTACTACAGTAACAACTGAAGAACCTACCACAGTAATAACTGAACCACCCACTACAGTAACAACTGAAGCACCAATAACAGTAACAACTGAAACACCCACAACAGAAACAACTAAACCACCTACTACAGTAACAACTGAAAAACCTACTACATTAACAACTGAAGAACCTACTACAGCAACAACTGTAGAACCTACTATAGTAACAACTGAAAAACATTCTACATTAACAACTGTAGAATCTACTACAGTAACAACTGTAGAACCTACTACAGTAACAACTGAAGAACCTACTACAGTAACAACTGAAGAACCTACTACAGTAACAACTGTAGAACCTACAACAGTAACAACTGAAGAACCTACTACAGTAACAACTGAAGAACCTACTACAGTAACAACTGAAGGACCTACAACAGTAATAACTGAAGAACCTACTACAGTAACAACTGAACCTCCTACTACAGTAACAACTAAAGAACCTAGTACAGTAACAACTGAAGAACTTACTACAGTAACAACTGAAGAACCTACTACAGTAACAACTGAAGAACCTACTACAGCAACAACTGTAGAACCTACTATAGTAACAACTGAAGAACCTACTACAGTAACAACTGAAGAACCTACTACAATAACAACTGAAGAACCTACTACAGTAACAACTGCAGAACCTACTACTATAACAACTGAAAAACCTACTACAGTAGCAACAGGAGAAATTCCTGTTACAATTGAGACAACAGCACCAACAACTGTAACAACTGAAAAACCAACCACAGTAACAACTGTAGAACCTACTACAGTAACAACTGTAGAACCTCCTACAGTAACAACTGTAAAACCTTCTACAGTAACAACTGAAGAACCTACTACAGTAACAACTGAGGAACCTACAACAGAAAAAACTGAAGAACCTTCTACAGATTCAACTAAACCTCCTACCACAGTAACAACTGAAGAACCTACTACAGTAACAACTGAAGAACCTACTACAGTAACAACTGAAGAACCTACTACATTAACAACTGTAGAACCTACTACAGTAACAACTGAAGAACCTACTACATTAACAACTGTAGAACCTACTACAGTAACAACTGAAAACCCTACTACAGTAACAACTGAAGAACTTACAACAGTAACAACTGAACCTTCTACTACAGTAACAACTGTAGAACCTACTACAGTAACAACTGTAGAACCTACTACAGTAACAACTGTAGAACCTACTACAGTAACAACTGATCCTCCTACCACATTATCAACTCAAGAAACAACAACTGATCCTCCTATCACATTATCTACTCAAGAAACAACAACTGATACAGCAGGTGAAATTCCTGTGATTATTGATAGCACCACCAAACCAACTACTGAACCAACCACAGTAACAACACTGAGCAATGGAGAAACATCAACTTCTATTACTGGAGAGACAACAGAAATGTAAGTAAATATTTTATTTTCTTCAACCTTTTTTTCTAATTTGAAAAGTTTTATATAAAAGACAATAACACAGATCCAATGCCACAAAATGTCTGGTCGGATAATGAAGAAAAACCTTATTTATTTCCAATTGACCAATATGGCGGTTTTGAGGACGATATCCGGGAAACAATGTCATAAAATCAGTTTGACTTTATATTCAAAGATATTTTTGCAAAGGACTTGAGGAATTTTGGACGTTTTTTTATTTAATTTCAAATACTTGCTTAGTTCGATTTGTTTCGGGCTCTGGATATCGTTTTCGATTTACGCTATCTGATAAAAAAGGTCAAACCTTAGAGAAATCTCATCTCACGATTATTATTTAGACCAACAACTGGGGAAGCTACCACAACTGTGTCAATAGGCGAGGAACCATTTTTACTGCGAACACCAGCCTAGATAATTCTAGAAGATTCTAGAGGATTCTAAAGGATTCTGAAGGATTCTAAGATTCTAAAGGACGCTAGATGATTATATAGGATTCTACAAGATAATAGATGACTTTAGAGGATTCTAGAAGATTCTATTTGGTGCCAACATTCCTCGTTCGGTCATTTTAAGAATATCATCCAAAACAATGTCATGTCTCTTCATAGAACATTATCCGCAAAAGAATAGACACTATACTTATAAGAACAAAGTCTGAAAAGTATTTAATAATTAAATTCACATACATATACTAATCTTCAAATTAGAAATTGCTAAAAATAAATGAAATATATATCTAAACCTTAAACTTGATTTGTATAAATAGTTTTTGTGTGATTTATGCATAGGCGATTAATTTTAATATTTTGTAACGAATATTTGTAAAATTTGTATTATGAGTTTACAAATGGACCTACAATTAGGGTATTCAACTTTGTTTTGTTTATTTACAGTAATCGTTTTGAACTTTTCGTTATAATTTTGCCAAAATACAAAAACAGGAAAGAGAGGAGAAATTGAGCTACTATGGATGGAATAAGTGGGACACATGTGTCCTGGGAAAAACTGTATGTATATCTTGTCATGTGTAGTAGGCTGGACAGCGAGCCACCAGAAAACTGTGAAATAGGAAAACGACATCAAATACTGTTGAAGCTTGGCGAAATGTCGTCTTATTATTCCACAGTTTTATGTTTCTTACTGTATATCGTGGGACACATTGGCAATTGACAGTTATCAATTCAACATAGTTACGTTTCAAATCTCAGAATAAAAATTGGTTTGTTTTTCGTTTAGTAACCAACTAGCTGAAGTGCCCGGCGTTGCCCGTGAAATGTTAAAGCACTTGAAACAAATTAGAAATTTTAAAATTTGAGGAAGAAAAAAAATTGACTATGTTAACCCTAGTGTACCCCTGGGTTCCCTAAAAAATGTTCAACTAATTTGGTCCACTCATTTATCCACCTACAGCTAACATAAATACAAATATTATACATGTATGTGAGCAAAGAGCTTTAATATATAGAGTAAACTTTTTAGTTTTTTTTGCGTTTTAATCCAAAAGGGTCTTTTTTTTCAATTGTAACAAAAAGTTTTTTTCTGATTTTATTCTATTTTTTAATCGCTATATCTTTTCAATCCGATATTTACGTCTTAGGCCTTTGATATTTCAAACTATGACTTATATTAGATCAAATAGAAAATTTGAACTCTTAGCAAACACTCAGTTCCATGAGAGAGAAATAAATTAATATCATTTACAGTGATTAATTGAGGCTTTGTATGAGAACAGCCTAACTTTAATGACGACCTTTTACTCTTACACTAACTGGAGTACAGTTATATTGTACAAATCTTAATCTGGAGTTTTGATATGAACTTCAGCGTAATGTATAAAACCAGAACTTCGGAGCTATCTAAAGGATTTATAAAATGTCGTCTTAACACTTTTTCAATTGTTTTTTTTACAATTATACCCTAATATTAGCAATTAAAAACAAATGAATAGCCATGAAATATGCGGGAACATTTTTAAAGAGCTTCATGTAATTATTCAATTAAAAAGCTAAATATCTGCAACGTTTCATTATCAGTGGGTTTAGAAAACGACATTTCATAAATTCTTTCGGTGGCTCCAAAGTTCCGGGTTAAACTGTAAAATTGCATCATGTTGCAAAGAAAAGAAGTTAAAGCACTGCTGCAGAAAATAGAGTGTAGGAACCCATAAAACTGCGAAGTAGGAAGACGACTTTTAGACTAAAGTAATTTTCCGATTTGTATATTTCACTTAATAAGTGGACTTTCCAGATACTGATGAAACTATTTTCTTTAAATTGGAACATGAAATTATTGAAATGTAGTCTTCATATTCATATTGAACAGTTTTACGGTTCCTACTTTATGAAATAAAAATGTGTTCGGAAGGTAAATCTATGCTGTCTCCAGGAAAATCTATTATTCATGAAACTTAGCTAATAATAGCATGAATGTCGTCTTCCATTTTCTGATTTCTTTAGTTTAGGGTTGATAGTTCTCTACCTGTTTGCTTAGTTAGCTGTTTACAAATGTTTAATAATAATGATATACTAAAGGTTAGGCCAGAATCTCCTTATAATAATCAAATATGCAGTTCGCTCTCAGTGTAATTTCCGGCCTATACAATTAGTAAAGGATTATAGCGTACATCATCACTCTATATACATTATATCCCCGTTGGTAAGTTCTACAGTGAAACCCTTAATAACAAATACATCGAAAGAATTCATCAAATGTCGTATTCTTCACTTTTTGATAATGGAATGTTGCAGATATTTAGTTTTTTAATTAAATGATTATATGGAACTCTTTAAAACTGTTCCCGCATATTCATGTCTATTTATTTATTTTCGCAAATACTGAAATTTACGTAATACAGTATAAAACTCATTGAATAATTGTCAAGACGACATTTGAAAATTCTTCCGATGTATCCGTTATTAAGGGTTTTACTGTAAGTAAACAGTAAAAGAGAAACCTGAAAAGGGATTTTATTATTAGATATAAAGTTAAACTAGGATGGACTAGTTCAACTAATTACTCCTTTTCACAATTGTGTCGACGTATGATTTCAAGGAACCTTGATTCACAATGTGATAATCTTTAATCCTTCATCTGGGAGAAATTTATAAAGATCTCTAGCTGTCAGAATCGTTTACAGTACATGCAGTGTGTCTCAATAAACATGGGAATGAGGGAGGATTTCGATCCGAAGATGTTTCGTCTGCTACTGTTCATAATTTGTTTGTTATGATGTTTTGATTAAATATTGAATTGTACTTTGTAAAATAATAAAGGAATTGAGTCTCTGTTACAAACCCTGATTTTCTAATCCCTTAATCTTTTCAACCCAATGTCGTGTGACCTTAAATTTTCAACCTTGTATTCTAAGTTTGAAATATCTAAGGTTTACAACACCAGGTTGCAAAGATATAGGGATTATAAAATTTGAGTATGTGGGAAAGACTCAGTTCCTTTCCATGTTCAAACATAGTACACCCAGGAAACTTGAATTGTATAGACGTGTGAGCTTCAACGATAATATATATATAGATATGCAGGCAGGTAGAAACCTCCTTCCTAAATTGCCTGTAGCAGACAACTAATTTTTGAACCTCTGAAAAAATGTGCACAAAGAGACATCTATAGCAAATTGATTACTTTCTATATGCCTTTCTCCCCTTTCTGCTATCTGTAGGAAATACGCATTTGTGTTATATAAACATACAGTACGCGTATTGCATCCTGTATAGTTCAAGTGTTGCTATCTGGACCTGTTTGACCAATAAAATTAAATTTCAAGGTAACACAAACATACAGTACGCGTTTTGTTTATGTTATGATCAGATCAGTTGTAATTTGTCCTAGACTCGATGTACTTTTATAGTCATAATTTTTATTTAAATTGCGTTAATTTACGTATGCCATTCAGTACAACTTGCACATTTAAACTTTGTCTAGTCAAATTCCTACCTCAGTTTTATTTGCATTGATTAATTTGTTTCATTAAGTACAATATGCAGTATACATTGTTGATACAATAGTACACATTTAGTGTTATCACGCATAAACAAAGTGATAAATTAGCAACAATCCAGAGGATAAAATGCCATGCGTACGACAGAGATGGTGCTTTGTGCTCATTATCTCAAGACCTCTAAATTTATACCTGTCTGCATATCTATATATATATTATCGTTGGTGAGCTTAGTCCGTTTATCCAAGTAAGACCTAGGGATCTGCACTTTTAGACAACTATCGGACTGATGTATCTATATCATGCCTATCAGAGAACAAAGGAGGACACCAACCCCCTTCCCTTCATTTTACCTAGATATGCATCCTCGGATTCCTCAGCAGCACCGAGGATATCAGATGCTGCCCTATCATCTCCAGATTACCTTTGCGAGGAAACGATCTTGCTGGTAATCTGGAACAGCTACAAGATCTAGTCAGACCAATGACTCCAGGAGCAGAAGCTGGAAACCCTGATCTTTACAGACAGCTCTTTACATATCAATTGTAGAAATAGCTGAAGAATAAGATTTATCCGGGGCAAACAAGTCCAACTACAGACCAACCAGTCCAACTACAGACCAGGATATATTCTTCAGCTGGTTCTATGAACAGAGCCAATGGAGGCTTGGAGCAGCTAGAGCACAGGAGAACTAGGATATCCATGGCACACAGGAGAACTTGGATATCCAGTACACACAGGAGAACTAGGATATCCAGGATACACAGGAGAACTAGGATATTCAGGACCCACAGAAGAACTAGGATATCCAGGACCCACAGAAGAACTAGGATATCCAGGACCCACAGAAGAACTAGGATATCCAGGGCGCACAAGAGAACTAGGATATTCCAGGATATAGTGGAGGAGTAGGATATCCAGGATACAGAGGAGAACTGGTATAACCAGGAAAAAGCAGCAGATATACAAGAAAATCTTGAGACAGGAGACGCTGCTCTTTACCGACAGCTCTTCACAGAAATGTTTTAGAAGCAGCTGAAGAACAAGATAATCTTGATACAGGAGACGCTGCTCTCTTTACGGACAGCTCTGTTCACAGATCTGTTGTCAATCCAACAAAGGAAGCAGCTGGGAATGCAGTAGAAGCGTCTCAAATTGGGGGAGCAGCCAGAGTAGCAGAGACTCCAGGAGCAGCTCCAAGTCAAGAATTAAACCTGGGGGACCTTTGCAATGCAGCATTACTACTCCTTGTTCTTACATATCAGTTTCAAGACTCCAACTGTTGATAATCTACTCCTAGCCATTAAACTCCTTTTATCACATTTGTCATTATTTATAAGTGAAATTCTGACATTTGGTCCTTCAAATTTTCAAAATTCCACGTTTGATGCAGTGTTCCATTTTCTTTCCTCATCCTTCAACAGAGCTAGGAAACGTTAATTGTTTACAGATCTATATAAAGTTATCAATATTCAACAA